AATTTGATTCAGGACGCGACCAAAATCGGGTTGCGACCAAATTCGGAGGGGTCAAAATGGATTAACTGTATTTACATTGAACCTTTATGGGAAAATTTGATTTGGGTCGCGACCAATTTGGGTCACGACCAGAGTCGCGGAACGAATTAAGTTCGTGAACCGAGGTACCACTGTACTTTCTGAGGACAGTTCTATTCAGAATATGTTATATCCAACCTGAACTAGTGATTGCAGCCAGATTCCCACTTGTTTATTTGCATTTAGAGGCCGCCCAACTCCAGGCATTCCAACAAATGGCACAGCTAAATGCACCAGCCAAAGAGATATGTTTTCCTGGCAGGAATAATGATTTGTGCATTCAGATGCAGAACTCCAATACTGACAATTCCCAAATTAGCTTCCCCACTTATCATCTGTATCTTTGCCTTTGCCTTGTTCCTTTCCAAATTAGGTCTCTTCTGTCCCTTTTTGTGATTAGTAGCTGCTGCCTGTTGCAATCTCTGTGTTGCTGTCCCATTCATGATCTTGATCTGATATATCAGAATTTAATCTAATCTGAATGCTTAATGTTCCCCTGTAACAGTTTTGTTTTAATTTGCTGGTGCTAATGTTACATTCATTGGATTTCTAGTGTTAGGGAGTATTTCACACATTCAGTTTTTGTTTGTGCTTCTGTGATTGTAGAAGCACTCAAAAGTATGGAGAAGTAGTTCTCAATTATGCTGTTATATCAAGAGTCTATTAAGTTGTTATTATTGTTATTGTTATTATTATTAATTAACCTTGTATGCCACCCAGCTCTCAACAACTCTGGATGGCTCACAACAATCAAACAAAAAAAAAATCACAATAAAACCCATAAAGCATAACAGATAAAGATAAAATATGGCAAGTGCATTGAAGTGAGGGGTCTCCCTCTCCTTTGCCAAGGGTGGCAGAGCAGGGGCTATCTGGATCTTGGGGAATCTCATTCCAGCGGGCAGGCGCTGCTTACAGAGAAGATGCACTTCCGGGGTCACAATTGATGACGTTGTTAATCGAAGGAACCCAGAATAGACCAATCCTGCAGGGTCAGATTGGCTGAACAGATGCTATGGGAGACAGGCGGTCCCTCAAGTAACCAGGCCCTGGGCCATGTTCTTTCTCCATCCTGATTGTAGCCATGTGCTTGATGACCACATGAGGCAAGAAAAGTGATGAAATGTAAGATGTGAAGTATCAGATTCCCCTATATAAAAGCAAGATTTCCTTGCCTCTGTCAAAGCAGACCCCACCCATGTCCTGTTCTACCAGAATTAGGCAGATGTAATCAATAAACAAATATGGTGGTTCCCATCACATTTACTTAAGATGCAGAAGGCCTTTTCCTACCATGTAATTAAAGAGCCAGTTAAACCACTAGGATAAACTTAGCTGGGGTTCATGAATAGACAGATAGTGCAAACTTTCTTGAGTCACACAAAAAAATTATTTTC